AATTGGTAGTGCCGAAGGGATTCGCGGTCATTTTTACAGGCTGGGGCCCAACATTTTTCGGATACTCTGTACGTGGTTACTATTCTATATGGAAGTGAACGCGCCTTGACAAGTCTCTAATCTGGATGTGACTTATAGGCCCAAGGAGCTTTCAAATACGGTGGCTACGAATTCTTCAAAAAGTTCTACGCAGATCTACTTGGGGAGGATGCCGCTACGGCTTGGCGGACATCTATATATGCCGCCGCTAGTGCCTCGGCCGAATTGATTGCGGACGTCGCACTCTGCCCATTCGAAGCAGTCAAAGTGCGAATGCAGACTACTATCCCTCCATTTGCCACAGGAACATTCAGTGGTATCTCCTATGTTGTCGGAAAAGAAGGAGTCGGAGGGTAACGTGTTCCAAGAACCCAGTCGAACATATTGGGACAGCTAACAAGATCTCTACATTCTAGTTTGTACAAGGGCTTGTATCCATTGTGGGGTCGTCAGATTCCCTACACGGTGATGAAGTTCGTGTCTTTCGAACGGATCGTGGAAATGATCTATAACCGACTCCCTGGTAAAAAGTCCGACTACAACAAGGGCGCGCAAACCGCTGTTGCTTTCACCGGTGGTTATCTTGCCGGTATTCTCTGCGCTGTTGTGTCCCATCCCGCCGATGTAATGGTCAGCAAACTCAACGCCAATCGACAACCTGGAGAAGCATTCGGTGCAGCTATGGGACGGATTTATAAGGACATTGGATTTGGAGGGCTGTGGAATGGTCTCCCTGTCCGAATTGTCATGATCGGCACCTTGGTAAGCTCCAGTCCAAATATTTCTTTGCAGGACAAAACTGACTTGCATCTTATAGACCGGTTTGCAATGGATGATGTATGCTTTCCATATCCTTTTCGTTTGCCTTTCCTTTGTAGATATACTAACGGTTTATGATAGCTACGACTCGTTCAAGATCTTCATGGGTCTCCCGACTACCGGTGGTCCAAAGGAAGCTAAGAAATCAGAAGTTTAAGAGCTTCAAGAGGGATTGTATGCTATGGTTGCTCATTGGGTGTTTTATGGTGTGGCTGACTGTACATATATCTGTGATTGTCCCTTGCGATATTTGTCTTCAGCCATCCGAATTCCTAGATATGGAATGTGGCTATTATCTTTCGATTATCTCGCTGACGGAAACTTGGTGCTTGCAAAGTCTGTGATTCGGCAGAAAGTAAGGTTATCTTATCTTTCGCGGCTCCTCTCACTTGCCAAGCCTATGTCACTCGCCTGCGAAGTTCTCCTTTCCGAAGCACTATCTGTTATCATCTAGCACTTGCTTGCATGGCCTTTGCCACGAACTATGCTCCGTATGCTTTTTTTCCTATCAATTGAAAAGTATATTACTCTTAGAACTGGTCGAAGATTTGGCCTTTCTTTTGCAATTGATTTATTTCAAAGATACCCGAACTAGACATCCTCCACTGGTGTTAATGTCAGATGGTAGAGCCAGGAGGTTGCTTTCAAATAAATACTGCTCCAGCTCAGTTCAAATGAAATCATCATCATCAAGATTCTCATCATCACTGTCCTCTTCTTCCTCTTGTGCGAGGCCAATTTGCCGGGCTGCAGTTAGAAGAAGAAGGTCATCCTCCTCCTTGGCCTCCAAATTGTTGCCAGTTTCAGTGCAACCATCAAGCAAGTGATCATATTTGTGTCCTATCTCATCCACAAATGCCAAAAGCATATTCCTTTTCAAGTATTTTCCTGGGGATGACCAAGCAGGTTTTTCGAGTTCGGATTCGCGAAGGATTTGGCCCTGCCAACGTTCGGTGAAGGCGCGGCGAAGCATCTGGAGGCAGTAGTGAAAATATAGATACCGGGGCGCGCGGACCGGAGTCATTCCTAAACTCGAGTCGTTTGCCATCAAGCTGCCTCCACGATCCATCAATGTATGGGATTATCCGGTTAAGTTTTGTTGGATCGTGGTCAATGATCTTCAGCTTATACTCTTTCGGCTCACTTCTATCCCACTCAGTTATAGCCCTCAGATGTTGGGGTTCTCCAGGCAGATCTGGAACAATGACAAACAGGCCCGCTCTCAAATTTTGCCTCGACGTGATTTGAAATGAGAAGCCCATTTTTGGGACTAAAAAGCTCTGGCTCTTGGGTCTCCCCGAATATCGCAGTCATCGTCTGCTGGCCATGCCTGTACGAGAATATGTGACTTGCAGTAACATCCTCTTTGGCAAGCCACCGCGAGAGAATAGGGCACCACAGCAAGTCTTCATATTCAATTTCCGATTTTTGGGCGTTGTATGCTTCAATCAAGCTAGCTCGGAAACTGCTTTGCGCTTTATTTTCCCTCCCACCGCCGTACGAAGCGATACCAAGCCCTCGACTGCTTGAGATGAACAACTCCAAGTAAGATCGACGTAGAGTGACCGTATTTGCTTCAGAGTCGGGTTCACCGCTACCAGATTTAACACGTCGCAATTGGTCCCGGAACTTCCGTTCTTTAAGTTTCAGAGCCTCAAGCTCGGCGTGCAGCTGCTTGGCGTCTTCCATAGTAGCCCAGGCTTCCTCGCTGCCACCTTCTGTCTTGAACTTTTCAGTAGAGATCTGCCTTCGAACGTTGTTGCGGGCGGTTTCACTTCGGACGATGTCCAAAGCCGTCTCCCAATATCTACAGAGGGAAAGTGAGCACCAGTGCTACTAGTGAGCATGTTCAAGCATGACTTACTCGGAATCAAAGCTGCCTTTGGGCTTTAATTGGCGTCTCTTACGCGCAATTTCGTGATTCAAGTCGTCCAGCTCGTCGCGGAGGCGTTTGCTTGAACTCCTAGGCGGGATCACAGGTCTCGATGCCATGATTTGCTAATGTAGTAACCACCTCTTGATGGAAAATGTGAGAGAGTATATCAGGAGACTGAGAAGATTCAAGAAAGAATTATTGCCTTAGTCAGTGAGATAATGAGTAATGTAGACTTGTCAGATCAAGAAAGTCAAAACATGTGCGGTGAGTTGGAAACCACACCTTTATATATGCTCCAGTGAACCCTTGTCTGACTCAGCGTTAACTCTGTACTAGTCAGCTGATTAATGACTCAGGCAGAAAGGAAGAATCTCAAAACAATAATATGCAATAGGAGGAAAGAGCTTCAACTGCTTTTAGAAACTGCAGCTATAGCTGCTGAAGAAATCACATCAGCACATTCTCACTCCAATTCAATATCTGGATCCGAAACGGTGGTGTCAATAAATAGCTTCATGCCTGATGATATCTTTTGGCCCTTTTCTTTTTTTTTTTTTTCGTTTCACATTCCGCTGGTTCTATATTTACCCCGAGAGATTGATCTTCTGACGGGTCGATTCCACGTTAGCGCGGTGGCCACGGAAATGTTTCGCGCGAAGCGGATCGGAAGGCGCGAGGGTGTGTGGACCATGCACGGGAGAGAGAAGGGGAGGGAGAAAAGGGGCGCATCCGTCGGGCGCAGGATGAGCAGGAGTATATGGGCTTCGCGGATAAGCTCAAGTACAAGTTATTCGGTCGAAAATGAAGTGGATGGCTTTTTTTTCTCTGCGCGAGGACGCTTTCTGGATGGAGGCGGGCAGAGCAGAAGCAGTTGCTGAGTTGCTGGAGAGTAGTGGAAATACCCCCTTTCTAGGTTGCAGCTGTTGATAATAAAGTTGAATTTCACGTTTGGGCTGCTCGTCATCTCCGGTGTCTCGATTCCAAGGTCCGTGCGATTCAGCTTAGCTTGCCAGGGAAAACCGTGAGTAGACACTGGGCCGAATATAAAATCACGGAAAGGCATGCAAAGGGATCTGGAAGGGGACCATCAGAGCAACTGTGACTTTCAGTCCCATTTTGGTGTGCCGATCGAAAAGGGCACTAGGGGTTTCCAAAGAAAATTCCAATTGATTCTTGTTATCAAGGTATTTTAATAAACAAACAAGGAAACTTAGCCAAGCAAGCATATAACAAGGAGACGGCATGGGTAGCGCACCACTCGGATCATCAGAATCGAGCAGGTAAAAGTAGGGATATACCTGAACAGCGCATCGGTTGACCTTCTTTTTTCAACCTACAGATGAGAAAATCTAGCGTACTAGATATAGTCTTTTCGCGCTTCGCCGTCCTTCTGGGGAAAGTGTTTGAGGAAGCGAACAGAAAGCAGATCGATACAGGAACGGGAAGGCCAATAAAACCAGCAGCAAGGCAGAAGCACCAAGCGAGTGCTAAGAGCAAAAAGGCAATGCATAAACTAAAGTCGATTAATGGGTATGGTATGTTAGAAGAATGGGTATCGATCCAACGATCTGAGCTCCGTCAGTAAAAAAAAAAAGGCAAAGTGCAAAACTGTGGAAGAAGCAGAAAAGGAAGCGTGATTAGTTTGTTATAAAGTCAAAAACATAACCAATAAGTCCTCCCATTGACCCTGGCGACTATCGCGAAGCTTCCATGTTCTTGGTTAATTCAGCAACGCGGGCGCGAATACGTGCAGCCCGCAATTCAATAGCTAAATCACAGTATATTAGCTAGTTTATCAATGAGATAGACACAGATGGTGGTTACTCACATTCATGAGTTTGATCTTCAGTATTAGGTTTCTCTGGCACGGGTTTCTTTGCGATAACTTCTTCAGCCATGCCTGCTCTCTCAGCGGCATTCTTTCGGATTTGTGCCCATCGATGCTGAGCCTGCATTGGCGCTTCATCTGGCACGGGGCTAGGAGCACTATCACGTCCATTCACCGTGGTTGGTTCTGTCGGCTTTTCAACATGTGGAGGTGTTGGTGCTCTTTCAACGGAGGATTCTGTGCTTGGAGTGTCGATAGGGGCAAAAGCAGGCTGATCAACTATTGGGCTCTGGTGATCAAAGTTGGAAAAGTGTTGATCCGCCTCTGCCTGTTCATTGGTGTTCACACGGGAAAGGCTATCGAATTCGGCTTCTCTGCGGTGTTTTGGTGGGCCATCATAAGTCACCGGAGCAGGAGCAGGGGCCGATACAGGCACAGGTGCAGGTGCTGGCTTCCGTTCGGCAACGGGAGGAGCTGGTGGCTTGGAGGTCTCGGGTACAGATGCCTCCTCAGATGATTGCTTTTGACCAACACTGGATAGCCGATGAGCGGTCGTGCTCTTGGGTGTCAATGCACCCGACCTTTCAGCGCTGGTTCTTGTCGCAGGTGTTGCGGATGTACTCTCGACGGAGGATCTGCCAGCAAACTCCGACTTCTTCTTTGCAAAGAGTGCCTTGAGTCCGGAGGTTCCTGGTCTCTTTTTCAGTTTTCTGAGTTCACGCGTGGATTCACCGGATGCTCTGCCAATGGCTGGCCACGGTTTGGGAAATGTTCGCTCACCAGAATCTTGTTTTGCAGGGGTAGGATCTGCCACTGGAGTTGGCTTCGGCGCCGGCCGCGTTTCCTTGGGAGGCGGAACCGGTAATGGGGAAGCAGATTCTCTAGGCGCACGCTGCTCTGCTTTTGGAGGAGGCGTGGGTTCCCGTCCAGGGGCAGAACCAAGGCTAGATGTGGCTCGACCATTCCAGCTAATATCCAGATTCTCTGCGGGAACACCTGTGCCAGCCCGGTTATTGCTAAGATAAGCAGCCCTAACAGCATTTTTGTCATAGTTGCTTGCCCACTTCATTGCATGAGATGCCTCGTTCAAAATGGACGGCTGTAAAGTAAGTACAGAATTAGTTCTAGTCGAGTATGAGTCGTCCTGCCTTGTCCTGGCGGCCCTAGCCTGTTCTTGCTCCAACTCTCGATGTTTCCTTTGGAGTGCAGCGGCAGCTGCCTGGATCCTGGCATGCTGATCTGGTCCAATGCTCGTTCTGCTCAACGGCGCCGGATTGTTAGTGGATTTATACGGCTCACCATTCTTTTTTGCAGCAGATTGACGTCGAGTCAACCGCCCTTTTCTTGTCCGGAAGCCGAAGAAACTCTTCTTCTCCGCAATATAGGCACCAGCATCGGGCTCAGGTGCAGCACCTTTGACTTGCTCTTCAAGGATGAGCCACTTGCCACTAGAAATGACAGTCTCAAGCAGCGCACATCGTCCAAAGACCGCTTTTCGCGACGCAGTTTCTTCGCCAGCCAAACTGCTAATCCAAACCCACCAAAATGAATCATCCAGGTCTAAGACCGAAATACTCGCCAGCTCACCGGGATCCAGTGTGGATTCTTGGTCGAAAGAGCGCTTATGAGACTGAGAGCTCTGTCCGCGAACAGTCTGGATGGGCGGGAGAACTTTGTCTGGCGGCAAGAGTAGTCCGGGGCGGTTTCCGTTCCGTTGTTCATCTGTAAATCCAGAAGATAAGAAATCGGCCCAAGAGGGCGTAGTAGGACGTCCTAAATCCGCAGTGCGCGACGCTGGCGCTGACCTGAGGCCCAACTGTGGCGTCCTTCCGAAACCAGTTCCGTCTTCTTCATCCGATTCATCGATCGAACCACCAAATCCGATGTCTTCGAAACGTGACCATGAAGCATCACGTAAGCTCGTGGAAGCCTTTGTTGTAGAGACATCGGACTGGTTTGCGGTCGAAATGCACCGTAGGACGCGACGGCATTCGTCACTCAATGCCTGGGCTGGATCATCCAAGCTTGAAAAGTCCTTCAAAACAACATCGCTGTCCCGATATTCAAAGTTTTTGGCTCGTCGCAACAGAGCAAATGGCGTTGGAGAGACGGTATCAACAATCATTACAACTTTGGTTGTCTGAGTCTGGAGTAGGGAAGGTCGCTCCGGAGGATATTCTGTTCCTTGCACCAACGTCTGCAGGGACAATGGGAGAGTGGCGATGCCATTGGTGCCACGGATCGAATCAGGAGTAAGGGAGCGCAGGTAGGCAAAAAATAAATGACTTGTTGCATCAGCCGCCCTAATCGACGTGTTAGTCTTGCCGGCATAAAAGGTTACGAGACAGCCTTACTCTGCCCAGGTTTTATAACTTGCTTCGAAGCCGTTACCGGTGTCAGTATGCTCAAAAGCCCACCAGCCAGCATATCTAGAGAGCTTTCGGCCTCCGAGACCATTCTTGTTTCCATGAGCGGCAATCGCAGCCATGAGTTCAAAGAAATCAAAAATTATCTTAGTACGGGCATCTGAATCCACGCTGATCGGAATAAAGGTCGAAAACGCATCACGGGCGAGCTGTGAATCTGGGCGATTGTTAACTATAAGCAGACGGTGGAAGAGTTACAATAGGGAACAAATACCTTGTTCGCCAACTTTGAATAGTTCATAAGCCTCCCACGTTATGATGCCCCCAGGAAGTCTACTCCAACACCATTTCATTACACTGCAAAGCACCTAAACGCGACGTTTAGTCAAGTTCAAGATGAGGTCAATTCGCCAGTGACACTGGTATTCAAACGCACCATTGGCTCCGTTAACCGCAACTCCTGCAATAGGCTGTCTCCTCGCAGGGGTGAAGTTCTTCCGAGAGAGGGGCCGAAGAAATTACGAACAAAGGTGCGAGCGGCGCTCGGGTCTGAGGTCGGGCGGAATGGGAGGAGCAAAAACGGGGTGTCGAGAGCTAGATAGAAGTCCAATGAGCATCATCGTAAAAACGAAAGAGATTTTCTGCAGGCAGCGCAGCTTCCCAGTCGAGGTCGCGTCTTACCTCTGGCTTTCAATTCCTGTGTGCATCCGTGTATCAGCTCCTGTACCTCCTCGGCTCCAACCTCTGTTCGCAGCCAGGCGTCTGTCCATTGCGGTTTGGGAGGTCCATCAGTGCCTGCGCCGTTCTGCTTTTTCTTGCTACTCCCATCCTTGCGAAAAACGCGCGCGAAGAACGACATTGTCTAAAGGGGACAGCGATGGTCTGGTGTAGAGCCGAATCCGTCACGTTTCGCAGGAGAGCGTCGGGGCCACGAATCGAGGCACGGCAACCTTGGCTTGTAAATGTCGGCCTGGGTTTGGAAATGATCCTCGAATTCGGCAGCCCTTTAATCAAAGACGGTCGGCTGTTTGAGGGCAGCAACCAAGCGGGGCATCAAAAGCGAAAACGCTCGACGAGACAGGCGGTCAAGGACATGTAAGGCCGAAAGAGTCTTGTTCGACAGGCACCGATGCGTGAAGGAAAGCCGTCGAGGCCTGGGAGATCGTTGGTCGGGAATTAAAGGGGGCGTGTATCGAGAAAAACGCTTCCAATCACCGACAACGCGGATAATCTGTGCATGAACAAGGCGTGTTAGTGCTATTCACAAGAGCAACGGCAATCGAGGGGATGGGACGACATGCAGGATGGTCTGACCGTGACTTGCAATTCACCCTGGGTTTCTAGTGCGGTTTCACAGGGGGCAGATTGCATACAAAAAAAAAATATTGGCGAGAATGAGCGACGAGGAAGGGCAAGAAAGCAACAAACGAACGTGAAGCGAAGAGCAGCAAGATGAAGAGAAAAGAAGCCTGGACCGACAGGCTCGCAACCGGCAGAATCCAATGGAGCGTCGAAGGGGACGATGGAGAGGAAGAAAGAAGGGAGGGAGAAAAAGGAGTCGCCCGTTTCAGAGGAAACACGTCGGTGATCGCGACTTGGCAAAAAGCGCTGGACTAACGCCTAGTCGACGCTTCAGGGGGAAGCTGGCCGGGAAAACGTCCGCTGCCCAATGACTTGGCCCGTTGTCCAAAAAGCAATTATGTCGGTATTCCCATTCCGCTGGACCGTCGACGAGGAGCTGCGCTGCTGTCTCGTTCTGCTCGTCCGGCAACGCAGCGATTCGACTTCTATCGTCGCCAGTTTGATAGAAGCAGCCCCTCCGACTTCCCAAGCCCCTGCTAGCTTCCCACCCGAAATGACATGAAATACGGTGCACCCAACGGGAGTCTAACCTTGAGGCATTCGGGCCCGCGGTCCCAGCGAACCATGGTTGGCGTGTGTGTGCGCGTATCCTCAGCGGGTTGGATCGCCCATCAAATTGCATTCCAGCACAGAGCTTCACGAGGTTTCTCTCGATCAAAACCAACAAAAACGCGAGCCCTTGGGCTGACGTTCCGGATGCTTCTCCTCCTGCCACTGCTGAAGAACTTCTGAAGCTAGTTAGCATTTAACCTCTGTCCGGGGTACATAAGGCTTATGCACGCCCTTAATTCGCGCTGTCGACCGTGCGATGGGAGCTGGAGCTCTCTTGTCTGACGTCCTGCGGTCAAGGCCCTCTAGAGCAGAGCTTTTCGTTCTGTTCAGCCATCATTTCTACTCTCTTTCCTTACACCTCGGCGCTGATGACGTTTCTCCCTCGCTTGGCGAGCCCTAAATGCAGGGAAGGAGGCTTCAGGATCGAGACAAGGGGCTGTGGTAACCACATGGATGGCCGTCTTAACTCTCCGATTACACATGGCTAAGACCTAGCTACCAGGAGCAGTACTCGAAGTCCATCAACTTCTGCGAGTTCGTGCTACAAACCGGCATATGAGACTCCGCACCCCCGGACTTTAACTCGACAAACTTGTATCGGAGACAGCTAAAAACTGGACCCTTGATCCGGTGCCATGATATGTCAGAGACAAGGTTTGACTTGCGGGATGGAACGAGAGAAGACGTCTTTCACCCAGCCAAGCACCAGCTGCAGCCTGGATCAAGATTTGCCCATCAATAAAAAGAGACCTTGTGAGAGGCATCACATTCCGCCTGTCTCCAGCGGTTCTAACTTCTCAGACATGTTTTCCCAATTCCCATACATTGCGACACTAGATTCCCTGGTTAGAGCGGTTGCTCAGGAGGACGGAGGTTCAACCCAAATCCGAGCACATGACTATACGCTGATGAGACTGTACCAGATCGCAGGACTGTCCTTAATGGCGCATAAATTTGTTGCCATCGGAGTCGCAATCAGTATTGACATCGATCTCAAACAATTTTCGCAGCAGAAAAAAAAAAGTAGAAAAGAACTCTATCATTCAGCAGCATTGCCAACGGAACACCGCAGAAAAACCGCACAAAAGGCATTAAATGTAGAGAACCTCGGAGAGCAACCCATTTTCATCTCGCAAATTGCAAGCCGTAAATCGTGACGCAACAATAGAAAAACAAAGGAACAAAAAGAAGATAGACATGTCTCAAAAAAAGTTACCCCTCTCTCTCTACCCCATGGTTCATCTTCTCGCCTGCTCTCTTTCAACCTCGTACATGAAATCAAAGTAGGCTTTGTCAAAATGGTGCACGCGCACATATCCGTCCTCTCCACCAGAAGCATAGCCCGTTCCCGCTGGATGCGCAGCAATCGTGTTCAGCGGACCGAAATGGCCTCGCACACGACCAATCTCGTCTTCGAAAATCTTGTGGTAGAACCGGGCTTCGAATTTTCCCTGTCTGGCGGATGTCGTTGTCACGTCCATGGCGGCTTGGCCACCACCGAGGATGACAAAGTCCTTCTTTGCAGCAAGCGCCGCGGTGTTGAGAGGGGTATCGGCGACATAGGTTTTCATGACTTGGAGTTCTCGGGAGGAGATGACCTGCGAATTTATCAGCGATCGAAACTTTCCCAGTCGCATCAATCATGGGCTTGGGACCTACCTTGGCGGATTTGTCTTTTGAAGCAGTGATGAAGTAGGTTCGGTCGGCGGAGAATTGGAGGTCAGTGATCTGATAGTCAAATTCATGGGCTTGAACATTTTGCAGTTGCTCGCCAGTCTGAGCCCAAGTCAGCAAAAGTCGTCCACATCTGAAAGACTCCAGAATACACCACAACTCCTTACCTTTGCATCGTACTGGCTTACACTGCCATCTTCATGGCCCGCGATAATGTATTTCCCCAAAAAGCTCCATCCCGCCACAGTCGCCTTGCTCTGCTCACAGGTGATCTTTAAGCAAGGTTCATCGGTCTGCTCTTCCAAATTGTTCCCTTCCCCATCTCCGTAAAGCACATCATATACCACAATGGTACCCAGGTATCCCATTCGCTTCTCCGTAACGGCCAGTATTTTCGACCCATCGGGACTGAACTCGACCCTCTTCACCGCAGTCGGGAATTCCCACACCTTCACACACTCACCGGTCTTCGCATTCCATAAGCGAACCGTATTGTCTGCGGCGCCCGTTGCCAAAAGTACCGTCCCGGGGCTGACATCGACTGTCCAGAGTGCGCCTTGGTGTCCTTCGTATGTTCCCAGCCGTTCACCGTTTGCAGAGTACCATGCGCAGAGAATCTTATCCTTCGCTACGGAGAAGAGGAGGTCGCCGTCGTGGTTGTATTTGATCTGATTGAGGGACCGTTCCTATGGGCGGATCAGTCTCACGAGGCTTGAAAAATGCGGGATCGGGGAAGGCCAGTAGACCACTTACATGGCCCTGAAGCAGGATCGGTCTCATTGTTTTTGATTATTCCGTCTAGATAGAAGCTGCAAAAAGGTATATTCTGTATTTTAGTGCTCTTGAAACCGAGTTCTCGCGATAGATCCCACCCAGCTGGTCTGTGGAGCAACAAAATCTCGTAATCAATCACCACACACACATTTTGATGCCAAGATTTCGCCTGGCTCTGAGCACGTGATTTGCTAGTTGGCTCCGGAGGTACATTGATCCGAGGCACCTAACGTAATCTAACTACCACTATGGACAGTGAATAACGGCAATCAGCTCTCTTTTACTTAAATACCAGCTCTAGATTAGATACGATGCATGACTGAAAGTATCGGGTGGGCATGCAGAGGTAAGGGCATTTCCTCGCGATTGGGTTGTTATATCAGTGCCATTCAAGGGAAATTCAGTATTCAATCTTCCCGTTGATTCTCCGTGCCAATTCCCAGAAAAGGATGTGATTATCTCTCCATCTCAAAGTGTTCTCTGCTTCCGAAAGCAAATCCATATTTTCATAGTCAAGGAAGTAGCTTCAGAGAGAGAGATTAGCGCCCATCATTGGGACCACAGCACATGGGAATAACGTACCATTTGTCACTTTTGGCATCATAATGAAGGTTTCGTAGACCCTCGTCCCTCTGCATTCCGCCGTGGCTATAAAGTTCCCTATATGGATCAAAGGTCAGTAAGTTGGAGTTATCAACAATAGCTGTATTGGAACATGGGCTCAGGAGGCGTATCCACATACTCTATGGACCGACGAAACGCGCGGCGAATCTTCTCACGGTCCTCGGGAGGACGATACCAGAAGTCTACTAAAGATTCACCAGGTACTTTCTCCATCACAATGAACAAAATATAGCCTTCAGGAACAGGCATATCGTCGGCCTGCCATGCGTTAAGCCAACACAATACTTTAGGGGTGACAGAGCAGCCCTCTTCGTTGAGAGTCAGTAAAACATTCAGTTCATTGGCGCTCCACCCATTCGGATAAGTCAACGCCAGCGCCGCTCTGTCCTCTGGGTAGGGTGATGCTGGAGATTTCGGCGGAACCCTGATGAGTGCATTCAGACGTCAGCAAGCCGAGGCGCAGAAATAGTTTCAAAATCTTACTGCATCCGGATTTTTATGATCGCTTCTAACCCAATAGATGGGCCTTCAACTTGATAGCAATGATATACTGCGTGTGCCTCCGCCGTATCATCTTCTGGATCTGAGCTCGTGGTATAGCGCATAGTCTTTTCAGAAATTTTCTCGTCGAGTTTCCACCCGCTGCCATACTGAGGAAAGTGGAAAATCCTATGGTTAAATTCATCACCAATCCACGTTACTCGTTGCCTGCTCATATTGCTGACAGCTGGCAAGCCTGTAATGTAAATAAAGTAAGAACAGCTCGCGTCGCCGCATGTCCAGAGCCTAAAGAAAAGCCGCCCGTACTTTAATCAAATGAACCTTGTTTAAGGAGCTGTAGATACGGAAAGAAACTAAGGGATGAGACACTGCTGACTCTCTTTTATCTTGTGGATTGGAAGCATCCGTTGCTCATCAGTTCAAACCCAATATCGGATCTTTTGTTCTCGACCGAGCTGGGACCAACGTAAACAAGCTGGTTATCCGAGGATGCATGGATGAAATGAGTCTATTAGTATGTAGTGTTAACTAGGTGATGTGCTACTGCGAAGCAAAGAAACATATAGTGCCAGGGGTCCACGCATGGGATAGACAGAGCAGAGGTGGTGAATGTATATCGAAAGTAGGGTACTCCGTATGGCTTAGTTAACTGGTTCCCGTATTTTGGGCCAACAAAATTGTTGATAATCACGACATTAAGCAAACATATAGTTAGTCTTTTTTTCACCATTCGACTTCTTCCTCCCAGTCCGATACAACAAAGTCCTTCAGTCTCTACTTCCCCGTCGGCAATTGCAAAACCGAAGCCGCACATCAGTGGCCAGCCAAGGATCTAGTGATGTCCACAGCATCTGTTCTACCCTGCGCTGGCATGAGGAGCGAATCGCGAAGCCGGAAGTAGGATTGCCAATCGCAGCACATGAGCAATCAAGTGCATATACCCTAAAGTAGCATCTCAACATCGGAGTCTACATTGTAAACTAGCAAGACCGACATTTGCTAGAGCCACCTTCGTCCTACACGGCCTTCGTCAGAAACCGACAGAACAAACCCTGGACCGACGCTTTGGAGAACCGGTAGCATATTTAAACAACGCGCCACCTCTCCCAAGGTGCTTCCAATTTATACATATAATGACTCCCACAAGCCATGAACTGGTAGCCGAACAGATTTCCACAACTTCTCTCCTCGTCGTTGCTGTCAAGCATTGATATCCGGAACAACCATAATGCCGGCAGCTCCGAGTTCGCACCTCAACGCAAAGCAGATGAAGAAACAAAGCAGAAAATGAGTCAATCTCGCCGCAAGGAAAGTTTGCCGTTGCGCTGGCCGGGCGCTTGAAAAATTTTCTGGTGTCTTTAAAGTCAATTCGCGTTGAATTTACCAGTGTGTGCGAGGACTTGAAGACTAATATAAACCTCCATAGACCCGTGGTGCGCAGCGCATGGTCAACCTCCAAACCCGCATGCTAACGGCGGCCTTCCGTAGCCTATCGCGGGTGACAAGAGCGGCGATCCCGAGGGCCATGCCCATGCGGCCCAGTGCTACTTTATTATTCCTACCCCGCCATCCCGTTCGTCAACTTCACGCAGTCACCAATTCAACTCTACGCGCAACCAATTTTCAAGACTCAATTGTTCCAGAAAAAGTGCGCCCTGTTGCGTCAACTCCCTCTGCCTCGTTTTCCAGAAATCCGCGCGCTCACCCCGCCCTTGGCCTGTTTCCCAGTAAACCCTGCCGGACCACCCCACCCACCACTCAGCGACTCTTTTCCTCGAGTGCAGTCAATATGACCGGCACGAAGATCGATGGCACGGCCATAGCGAAAAGCATACGGGAGAAACTCGCGGCGGAAATTCAAAGCTCGGTGAACCCGAGATATCAGCCGAGCTTGGTTATATTTCAAGGCAGGTAAGCCCATACATGTGCTGCTTCTCACGAGCTACGGCTAACGGCGCGAATGATTATAGTCGGTGACAGGTCGGACTCAAGTGTGTTCTAGATGCCCTCGTTTCCTCAATGCATACTAATGTCCTTAGGCACCTATGTCCGTATGAAATTGAAGGCTGCATCAGAGGTATGTGGCCTGACGCGAACAACTGATGGAAAACCGATTACACCGCCACTAATCACGGATTCCCATTTCTAGGCGAATATTCTCTGCAGACTTGCCAAATTCCCCGAGGAAATCACAGAGACAGAGCTCATCCAAGAAATCAACAATGCGAACAACGACCCGTCGGTACATGGCATCTTGGTCCAATTGCCCCTCCCAAACCATCTCTCGGAGCATACAGTCACGTCCGCAGTCGCGAACGAAAAGGATGTGGACGGGTTCGGAGCTATCAATATTGGTGAACTGGCAAAACGGGGTGGGAAGCCGCTGTTCGTCCCATGCACTCCGCAAGGAATTATGGAACTGCTGCGCTCTAGCGGCGTAGATTTGGCAGGAAAAGAGGCTGTCGTGTTGGGACGGAGTGATATCGTTGGTAGCCCCGTCAGCTATCTCCTAAAAAACGCCGATGCGACTGTCACTGTCTGCCATTCAAAAACGAAGAATCTCCCCGAGGTCATCAAAAAGGCAGATATACTAGTCGCGGCAATTGGAAAGCCAGAATTCGTCAAAGGCGATTGGCTGAAGCCGGGTGCCGTAGTCATCGACGTTGGAACGAACTACATTCCCGATGCGTCCAAGAAATCCGGTCAGCGCCTTGTGGGAGACGTCGAATTTGCGAGCGCTGTAGAGGTGGCGTCCCAAATCACACCAGTACCCGGCGGCGTTGGCCCAATGACGGTAGCGATGCTTCTTCAAAATGTGGTCAACTCGGCCAATACATACTTTGAGAAGCTCAAGGACAGACGCATCTCTGCCCTACCAGTCAAGCTCCAGACTCCCGTCCCATCTGATATTGAAATCTCCCGCGCACAGCGCCCGAAGCCTATTTCGCAATTGGCCGCTGAAATTGGAATTGCGCCTCACGAACTAGAGCCATATGGTCAGACGAAAGCCAAAGTAAGTTTGGACGTCGCGTCGCGTCTCGCTCATCGCCGGAATGGAAAATATATCCTCGTTTGTGGGATCACACCAACTCCTCTCGGAGAAGGCAAATCCACCACCACAATGGGCCTCACCCAAGCTTTGGGTGCCCATCTGAACAGAATTACTTTTGCCAATGTGCGACAACCCAGCCAAGGCCCGACGTTTGGTATCAAAGGTGGTGCCGCTGGTGGTGGCTATAGTCAGGTTATTCCCATGGACGAGTTTAACCTGCATTTGACCGGCGATATCCATGCTATCACTGCTGCTAACAACCTTCTGGCAGCCGCTCTAGAAACGAGAATGTTTCACGAGTCTACTCAAAGCGATGCTGCGCTATACAAGCGGTTAGTCCCCGCAAAGAAAGGAAAGAGAGAATTTCAGCCAATTATGTTCCGAAGACTACGGAAACTGGGTATCGAAAAAACCAACCCCGATGAGCTCACACCAGAGGAGATTAACCGCTTTGCCCGTCTTGATATCGATCCTGATACCATTACATGGCGCCGCGTTTTGGATGTCAACGACCGACACCTCCGGAGTATCACTGTCGGTCAAGCTCCAACGGAAAAGGGCCATACCAGACAAACCGGGTTCGACATCTCAGTCGCCAGTGAATGTATGGCAATTTTGGCTCTTAGCAACGATCTCGCTGATATGCGAGAACGTCTCGGGAGAATGGTGGTTGCTACCTCGAAAAAGGGGGATCCCGTCACGTGCGATGACATTGGAGCCGGAGGTGCGCTCACCGCATTGATGAGGGACACCATCAAGCCGAATCTGATGCAAAGTCTGGAGGGCACACCGGTCTTTGTGCACGCTGGTCCATTTGCCAACATCAGCATCGGAGCCAACTCGGTCGTTGCAGACAAGCTTGCGCTCAAACTCGCTGGCACAGAGCCGGATGAAGACCACGAATCCAAGACCGGTTTCGTCGTCACCGAAGCTGGATTCGACTTCACCATGGGCGGTGAGCGCTTCTTCAACATCAAGTGTCGCTCGTCTGGGCTCGTCCCGGACACCGTGGTTATTGTCGCCACAGTACGCGCCCTAAAGGTTCATGGCGGTGGACCCGACATCACCCCTGGTGCAGCACTGCCAGAGGTTTACAGGAAAGAAGATACCGAGCTTCTACGACGCGGCTGCATTAACCTCAAGAAGCATATCCAGAACGCAAAGCAATACGGGATTCCCGTCGTGGTTGCCATCAACAAATTCGAAACCGACACAGAAGCCGAGATGGCTGTCATCCGCGAGGAAGCCATCGCCGCGGGAGCGGAAGATGCCATCCCCGCAAACCACTGGGCCGAGGGTGGTGCCGGTGCTGTTGACCTCGCCAAGGGGGTCATCATCGCTAGCTCGAAGCCCAAGGACTTTAAGCTGCTGTATGATCTCGAGGGCACGATTCAAGAGCGGATTGAGAAGATTGGCCAGCTCATGTACGGTGCCGACCGGGTGGAGTTTAGCGAGCTCGCGCAGAAGAAGGTGGACACGTACACGAAGCAAGGGTTCAGCAACCTCCCTATTTGCATTGCAAAGACACAATACTCGTTGAGTCACGACCCCAGCCTCAAGGGCGCTCCTACAGGATTTACAGTGCCAATTCGAGACGTGCGACTGGCCGTGGGCGCCGGGTACCTGTAAGTTGACTGTTCCTCTGGTTGCATGTTGTGATATCTTAACTAACGGTCTATTCTTTTTTTACCCCTTTAAAGCTATGCATTGGCGGCCGACATCCAAACAATCCCAGGTCTTCCAACTGCCCCAGGTTATCTCAAGGTTGACGTTGATGCCGAGACCGGAGAAATCGACGGGCTCTTCTAAACTTCAATTTTGATTCGGCGAGATTTCTTCCCTTGTTTCGTCGTGTTGCATCCCTTCTTGTAATTTAACAAGCATTTGTGCTCGATATTCCCGAGAAAAAAAACCCAAAAAAGCAGCCGGAGATAACCCCAGTTTTTACTTTTGTTCAACCACCATTCGCAGCCCTTTTCTTACTTACCCTTGGCGTCCTTATTTCGGGCGATCTGATGGAAGCAGCATAGATTCATAGAGCGGCATGATTGCATAGATTCAACAAACAAGAAGTTTAGGGTGCAATTTACAGATCCATTGCACATTTGTAAATCACAAAGATCAATGTCGACTCCAGATTGTAAATTTGAACACACGATCGACCGTCGAGATGACAATTCCGAGCTGTTCCTAGCCGAGCTATCGACGCCGGCATCACTTCCTATCAATCAAAAGACCGTGGTAATTTAGAACCGACCCGTTCGGGAAACGCGCGGGCGGGGGGCGGAGTTTTTGTTGATTAGTCAGTTGCGCCAGGCCGAGATCTGCCCTCTTTGTCAGACAGTTACATCGGCGAGATCCGAGCTAGTCAGGAGCCAGGCGAGGTTACCAAATTATGCAAGGGGTGAAGCAGGAGATGTTTCCTTGCCCTGTGTTGAAAGCCCGCTCCCTTGGTGAACGGTTAAACGAGGGATGTTCGGCAGGGGGTGATGGAGGGGAAGAGGGGTAAGATGTGCCCCTCGAGATTCAGGGAAGGGTCCTGTTCAATCGACTCTGTCGACCGGCCAAAATAGCCGGGCATTCGAGAGTACTTGAGGCAATCGCACCAGAGGTACGGAGTAGCTATGCAAGCATCAAGCAGTGTCCTCATGCTCTTCCAGTGACATCAGGAGCAACAGCCAAACGGAACTACATTCCGCGCGGGCGGCGGCCGGATAATCGTGGCCCCGAGAATAGCCCCAAAAACGCCAAGACTCCGGATATCCGACGGAAAAACTGGGGTAATAGTTTTTCCGATCAAAGTATCGCGTGCCTTTGATGTTGAATGCCACGGGCTTGCGCTCAGAGTAGCTGGCGCAACGATGTTATGACTGTCCTGAACACGCCTTCTTGTTGTTGTTGTTGTTGTTATCAGTTGCTGTTTTCCGGTGAGATCTTGATCCCGATATCCGCGGGGATTTTCCCATTTGCGTGATGGCGCGACTCGCCCGAGACACGCCAAGAAGAGACATCGCTCACAGTTGGTTGATCCTCTCCTAGCGCTGCATCTGGGTGATGTGACGTGGGAGGCGCTGCGAGGCCGTGACGGAGGAGATGTCTCCGCTGCAGCTGGTCAGAAGGTCTTTCCCTGGGAGATGAGATGCGGTCAAAGCGAGATCAGGGGATTTGAAGACTGCAGTGATGGCATTCTGAGAGATGATAAACTGAGGAGTTCCACCGCAAGTTGTATTTCAGTCAATAAAGTAAGAGTTGTAGGAAATGATGCAAGTGCATAGAGTGATCCACCCAGTAGTGTCAGCCCTGCAAGCTTCAGCGTGAAATCGCGCAAGAGCGTTGGGCCGGGTCGCGATGGGGGACGAGGCTCCGTCTGCAGACAGCCGACACTCTGGTCGGGGTGTGCCGCTTTGTCCAGGCTGGCCGTCTCAAGGTTGACCATGAATCATGACGACTGGATTGTCCTCGAATTGCGCTTCCCTTCGTTAATATTGCACATAAACTGAATGTCTGGCTAGCCGGCAACTGACATAAGCAGCCCCGCCGAGGAAAAACATTCGAGCGGAAGGGCCCCACCCGGCCAATCAGCGGGGGCGGCGGCGGCAGATACGACAAGCAGCAGAAAGAGGGAGCCAGGGGGAGTGTTTGGGGGGGTTTAGCTAGGGAGGGACGGGCAGCATGACCTGCTGATTCAACGCAAGTGGTGCTGGATTAAAACTGCTTTCTCTGCCCGCTCGTCCCATGTGTCTCCTCCAGCGCTGTGAACAGTGTGAACATAACGTGTTGTTGATCTGCTTCTGACATAATTTCCCGAGGAAACCCCTCCGGGCAGCGAGGTTAGCTGAATTGGTTATCCTCTGGACCCAAATTCCGCTCCCCGACAGACTTTCTCTGTGCGTAGTTGGATATCCACCCGGAAATCTTCTTTTTTTTTTCTCGCCGCGCCCGAACGAGAACCAGAGCAAGAGAGAGCGCAGACAAAGAACACTGGATTAACACCAGAGTGTCTGTGGGAAGAGCGCAAAACCCACCCCGCGACGCCCGACACCACCAGCGTCAGCGCTGCTTTGGCCCCCCCTGGCGTAATTACTTTATCCCCCCTCGTCTCCCCGTCCTCTGCCCTGATTATTTATCCTCCAGCACCAGAACCGAATATCCCGTTCCCGGCATTCCAAGACGATGCCTGCTCTTCGGCCTAGTTCCGTCCCATCCCGAGTCGTCTCGCTGACCCGCCTGCCCCTTCCACGGCCTCTTCATCCGCCGCCCGCCTCCCGGCTGCTCTCGACGTTTTCTATCCGCGCTCCCCCTCCTTTGCCTCGCAATTCTTCTACTGCCGCCCCGCGCTCCAGTATCCCTCTTCGTTCTCCCACAACACACGTCTCATCTTTGCTCTGTGCGCGCAGATAGCTGGCTG